GTGTGTGTGTGTGTGTGTGTGTGTTGGGGAGGTAGGGGTGGCAGCAGAAGGAAGAGAGGCTGGGAAGTTCGTGTTTGGGTATTGGGGAGGCCGGGGTGCTCCCAGACAGTCCATGCAGTCAGAAAGGCCCCCTCCTCCCAGGTTACGGGGAGTGTGGTGGACTTCCCAGTATGTGTTTCTTCAAGTGTGAGGGAGTGCGCCTCCCCTCCCGGGAAGGAGAGCCTGAGCATTCCCTCTCCGGCTGCTGTGTCACATCTGGAAGTTTGTGTAGGAGTTTCTCCCAGCTCGGAGCCCAGCACAGCTTTTTCTCATTTGGAAATCACAGGCTGGCATTTGGGATGCTGAGAAGGGGGAGGGGGGCCCGAGGGGGAGAGGGGAGCCTGCCAGGAGTGGGGGGAGGAGGAGGGGGAGGCCTGGATGGGCAGGAACCCTAATGGCTTCCAGAAGTGAGTGTGAGTGTATGACTGCGTCACTGTGTGTGTCTGCGTGTGTGCGTCTGGAGGGGAGGGGGCACCCGGAATTTCTGGAGCTTTCCTTGCCCCTGTCCCAGTGCCCCACGTCTGCCTGCTTCTCCTACCTGGGGAGAAGTCTCCATTTTGGTCCTGAGAGGAAATGGGAGAGGGGGTTCTTTCTGTCTCTTCACTGATGCCGTCCTCCCATGTGCAAACCCAAGGTTCTCCAGGGGGGTTCTGGGGAAAAGGGCTGGGGTTAAAGAATTGGATAGAACAGGGTGGGGGGTAGCAGGGGGTGGGACAGAGCCTCTTTTTGTCCCGGCACGCCTTCCTTCTGGGTCACACACCCACTCGGCTCCACAGAACTGTTGGGGGACTCCCCATCACCCATAGTGCCAGTTGGAGCCATTCCTGGGATTACCCCCAACACACTGCCCCCCTTACCCATCGCCTGCTCTCACCCACCCTGCCTGCCTCAGCCAGGATGGCGACAGACACAACTGCTCACACACACACACACACACACACACACACACACACACACACTCACAGACATTTGAATCGGATTTCTGGCCTATTTCCTCCCAAAGATTCCAGCAGGCCGGCTCTCTTGTGTCTCTGCCTCACGTCTCTGTCTCTGGGTGGGGCCGGCTGCCTTTCTTCAGGCTTCAGTTTTCAGTTCAGCTGGAAGCCTCTCTCCCCACACACCCACATGCTGGAGCCGGTGGCGGGGAGACCACTGGGAAGCAGGCGTGTGGGAGGGGGGGCTCGGCGGGGGAATCCCCCATCTGCCTTCCGAGCGGGAGCCTTGCTGCTGAGCCCCTTCGTCCCACCCCAACCTGGGGAACGCTGAATCCCACAGACACCAGCCTCTCCATGGAGTGGCTGAGAACAGCACCCCACCTTCCAACCAACTACTAGGAGGCCAGGATTCCTGGGTCCAGGCCGACTCCTCAATGCTCCCCCGTTTCAGATTTCCAGGTTCCTAGTGGGGAATGGGCAGGTGGGGGGCCTGCTCCCCTTCTCAGTCATG